TATTTTGTGTGTAAATGACAACTATGTGGAACATGTTTATGTTAAAGAGTTGAAGGGTAGTTAAAGCGAATATACATAAAAGTACTTGAAGCAAGCTGTTTGTTTAACAATAAAAAAAAACATATAAAGGTTAACACGGGAAAGTGTTAAATGAAACGGAACAAAACAGTAATTGTTCACTTGCATGACAGCGATTACGGGATTCAATGAGCATTACAGGACTTTACTTGCTGTCTTGCCCATGTCCATGTAGTCCTAGGTCTAGATAACTAGCCAAATCTCAATGGAACACTTATGCATGTGTGATGCATTAAGGTTTAACTTTGCAAGTTGGAATTCTGTTCACAATTCTGTTGAGTTGAACGAATGAAGAGTTGTATCCAGTGACGTCTATGAAAACCCAGTTCAGCCCAATTTGCCATATTACATGTTTAGTGTATATTGTTAGCTACAAGTGAATTTAACATTTACAGCTGCACCGAGAGAGCTGATGGTGTGAAGAGACTAACTATGGTATCACGTCAAGCACATGGACAATTGAACAACTTAGATCTCTTTATAAATTAGGTAATGCATATTACTCTAATATTTTGAATACAGACACTATTATTCAATATTTGATTTGTGACAGCCTGGTCTTATCTAAAAAAAATTAAATCCAATAGAGACTGTACTGTATAAAATTCTAACAGCACAACAACTACTAATAAGGCTATGAGCTGAGCTGGACCCAAAATGCACTGCATTATAACCATGAATTTTATGAACGTGACACCTAGGTTGTTATAGTCTACAGTGTACAATTTGTTATAACAGAAATGTTATTTATACTTCAATTTATGTGGATACTGGTTATCACATCTAGTAAATAGTGGACCTTTAAGTTGCTGAATAAGCATAAATTATCTCAGTGAAATGATACACCATGATCTTGTCATCGGAAATGAAACATCCGTTGCTGACTTTGAGAATCTTTTATATCCAAACCATAAAATTAGGGCTGTGCTTATTTAGTGTATTATTAAGACTTCTGTTTGGAAAATTCTAAGTAGAGAAGAATTCTAGCCACACATCCAACACGTCCTAACCTCTTCTTGGCTGCAATTTATAATGGCAGATGTTTTCGATATTAATCTTGCAGAATTAGATCACTGCCTGTTGACAGTCATCATAATTAATTTAATCTAAAACGTGTTTCTTGATGAAAAAAAATATGAATATTTAACTCAGAATCCTCCATAATTAAAACAGATTTAATTCTAAAATGCATTTTACATTCCACAATAAAACAGAAATATCCCTACATTTTCATACCAACCAAAGAAAATATTAATTGCAATAATTAATAATGGCATGCTAGTTGTATAAAAACACATCATTCCATACGAGCAGAACTATAAAAGGTTCTATACATGTTAAGATATGGAAATTATGCCAGTAATTACCATATTTTATCCATTATTATCAGCACAGTTCATGAAAGTGATAGATTTTATAAAAAACATTAATATGCAAAGCAGCTAGTTATATTCCAAATGAAAATGTATCCTTATCAGTGTCTTTTGTGAATACAAACTCGCACTCATGTTACAGGAAAAAAATTAACGTCACTTCCCCAAAGGTAGCAGAGTTGCATAAGGTTGTGGAGTTTATTCATTAAACATTATGAGGGTTGTTCACTAAAGTCAGAATGGCCCCATACCAAATTGCGCAAAAGCATTTGCTGCTGTACAGCGCCATTCAGACTGTAAAATCAGGACATTGTTTGCTGTATTTATATGTCCAGATTTTGCAAACAGGGCTCTGGACCAAATCTGCCAGTGGGCTGAAATTCAGACCTGAAGTGTTGAAAACCTGGCCCAGATGCTTAATATCTGAGTCTGGATTCTACAAATCCAAATTATATTCCTGCTGTCAATGGGCTTTTAGGAATGGAGACTGTCAAAGTGACCTGACCCAAGTCCCCCCATTTCCCAATTGATAGACATTAGGTGTGGGCTGGAAAGCCAATAAAGGGGGGTGGGTTGGACACTGTCCATCCCACTTCCCATACCTATAGTCAACCGGTGGGGGCTATTACATTTAAAAAGTGGGGAGGGGAATCCTAGTGCACCCTTGTCCCACCCTTGGTCAGCAGGTGGAGACTCTCATTAACATTAATGAGAGGTTAATTTAACAACCAAGGAATACTTGGTGGGCAGAAGTTGGGGCTTCTCATAAATACAGAAGGGGCTTATAACATACTATTGTCACACCCCAAAACATTCTTCCCATTGTCCACACCTATAATCCCCCCAGAGTGGCAAAGGATTCCTAGTACTTAGTCACCCCCTAAATAAAAAAAAACAATTATGCCTTTTGTCCTTACCCTAATTATAGTGAGACAGGCACATTAATTCTAATACCTTATTTGTGTATTACGAATCCTATACACCGAAGGCCTCAGACAGTCAGGTTGGCCGAATTCCGACGCGAATTAGCTTTAGTAAATATGAGGAGAAAACCCTATATATTTTATTGAATATAAATTGTATTAGCAACATTTAGGCTAAAATAATGATTTAGGAGAAACAATTTGAAATCCTTATTTGACATAATATATTTATTTGACATAACGTATTTATTTGATATAACTTAGCTATCTGATCCTGATTTTGCAATTCATGTTTCAATTCCCTACAATTAGGTATTAAAGGAACAGTTTAGACATCATGACCTCTTCAACAAATTGAAGTGGTTATGGTTCCTGGAGTCCATGGTTGTCAGGTACTACGTCACTGCTAAATGGTAGTATTAGCGATTGATGCAATGATTGACTGAGAGCGATCAGCTGATGCACTCAGCCAATCACTGCCCGCTACCCTTAGTAATCTTCTCCACCCTAGTGAACCTTAAAAACAAAGCATTTGGGGCTAACTGAAAATAGAGAGAGTGTGGGTGTGTGTGTCAAAAGAGTTACACAAATCTGCACACACCAAAGAAGCCGTAAAACTTAATTTTTCCACAGAAATTTCCCACTTTGCAGTGCTGTTACTACTGCAAGGGATTCTTGGTGGGCATATCAAATGAGTTCAACAAAGAACCACCATTTTGTCTCATTATTCTACTTCATACAAGGATTCATTGAATAAGCACAAATCAGAAAGAGGTGAAAAGCCACATAACCATTCATGGACAGCTGTTTCGTTGTTACTGCAACTCATCAGCATTGTGTTGGTTACAGCACTGCAAATGTTAGCTTTCTTTGGGAAAGGCAAGTCTTATGGCTTGACTAGTGTGTGCAGATCTGTGTTTAAAGGAGCACTCCACTGCCCACATGGGGAGGGGGGGGGGGAGGAAAGCACTGTTTAGTAGACATACCTCCAATGAATACATGTATAAATTTCCATCCATGTGTTCATTTAGGGTATATTTTACAAGAGGTTGCAAAGGCTGCAGATCTTATGAACTGCAGCCTTAGCAAGACCTCCCCCTTTTCCCCGGAAGAGACTTGCAGCCTCTGAATTAGTGCACACACGCTAATAGAAATCAGCACTTTTATAAACTGGGGTTAAACTATGCTACTCCTCACCCATAAAGCTCTTCAACAAGCTGACTATCTTTTGGGGTGTGGAGTGGTCCTTTAACAATGGTTTTACTATCCACTGACTGCAGATGGAAGGGGTTTTCAATCACTTTTTTTTCACACCATTACTCCTTTGGTTTGAGCTCCACAAGTAGCGCCAAACCTCAATAGCAAACCAGTATATTGTTTGTAAATGAATGACCACATATCTGGAGCCCAATTTATTTCAGTTCATGTAGAACACATATAAGGTTATGGTGTGACACCCATTGTAGATGGTTGTGCCAGTAGGAATATTGTTTATGTAAGACATTGCTTTAGAACTTTTTCATTTAATTGTCTTTTGGTCTGTTTCATATTAAAACCCAAATGTCTGTAATTCATTTTAGATCATAAAATAAATCTGTATAATCACATGCATGTGTATTAGTAGTATATGTTCTAATACACAGCATTTAATAATACTATCTATTTCCAAAAGGCTGACAGTTCTGTTTAGCTGATGTGAATTATAATGTATTTACATAAATCTATTTTTACTAAATAAGAGACTGTAATATTGTACAATTTAGATTTTGAAACCAAATACACATAGTAACAATAGACATGATGATGAATAAGATTCACTAAAGATGACTATAGGGTGTAGACACTGGTATTAGAAAACATCAATATAACAAAGTTCCAACAGTCTTGGGACCATCATGAATATTCAACAACCATGTAGCAAAAAAAATAAATATATATATACCTTTATGCTTTTCACAGATTCTGACAATTACTCATATAAATCAGTTGTGCATAGGAGCAGTTTGCAGTCAAACCATTCTCCCTTAAATATAATGGGTGCAATATTAAAGTTTTAAGCATGTTCCTCTAATGCAGGCATGCCCAAAAGGAAGATCCAGGGCCGGCCTTAAGGGTGTGCGAGCTGTGCGGCCGCACAGGGCGCCATGGACCAGGGGGTGCCATGCGGCCGACACAGCTCACACATGGCCGGGTGTGCAGCTGTGCAGGGGGAGCTAAAGCAGGTACCCGGTGGCGGATTTCACTATTCTCCACCAGGATATATGAAAAAAATAGCGATGCAGCAGGGGCGGAGCTCAATGAGAGGAAGAGGTGGGGCTAAAATGCCAGCGGAGATGAGGCTAAAACCTACCAGAAGCCCCTGGTAATAACTGCTGCACAGGATGGGGGAAGCAGGAAGGAGTCCCTGCTTCCCCAACAACTAGAATACAGGAACTGCACTGCCTCCATTCTTCCCTGCCTGCCCATAATGGTAAGTGTGTGTGTGTGACTGCCTGTGTGTTACTATGTGTGTGTGACTGTCTGCCAGTGTGTGTGTGAGACTGTCTGCCTGTGTGTGTGTATGTGACTGTGTGTGTGTGTGGGTGACTGTCTGCCTGTTTGTGACTGTAACTGTGTGTGACTGTACTGTGTGTGTGTGTGTGACTGTCTGCCTGTGTGTGACTGTAACTGTGTGTGACTGACTGTGTGTGACTGTAACTGTGTGTGACTGTGACTTTCTGCCTGTGTGTGACTGTAATTATGTGTGTGACTGTACTGTGTGACTGTCTGCCTGTGTGTGACTGTAACCGTGGATGACTGTCTGTGTGTGACTGTAACTGTGCCTTTGTGTGTACCTGTGTGTGTGACTTTGCCTGTGTGTGTGGCTGTCTACCTATAACTGAGTGTGTGTGTCTGTGCCTGTCTGTTTTTGCCTGTGTGTGTAAGTGTCTACCTGTAGCTGAGTGTTTGTGACTGTCTGCTTGTAACTACGTGTGTGTGACCGCCTGCCTGTAACTGTGTGTGTGACTGCGTGCTAACAAAACTTTTCGCACAGGGCGCCTAATGGCCTAGGGCCGGCCCTGGGTAGATCCCCAGATGTTTAAAAACAAAAGCTTTCATGATGCTTTGTCATTCTAAAGGCATGCAAAGCATCATGGGAGTTATTGCAGTTCTGCAGCATCTGGGTATCTACCTTTTGGGCATCCCTTCTCTAGTGCTTTCCACAGTACATAGTGCCCCCTTTATAGCTTCGCCTCTACAAAGTAGTACATATTTTCCCACGATAACCTCTATAGATTTGGACATGTACACAACATATAGGTGACAAGAGTGTAGTTAAATAGGAAATTAAATCCGTAGAGGATAGCCTCACTCTCAAATATCTCCCTTGCTAGGGATCCTATGAAAGCATCACCAAGCTAATAGCCACTCCAATTCCCCCAGCTTGATACTAACCTAACTAAGCCCAAAACATAATTTCTATCTAATGTTAAAAACAAGCCCAAAAATCAAATAAACAAAATAGATAAAGCCCGATGCGTGTTTCTGCGCCACAACAGTATGCCTTCGTCCGGGGCAAGTAATGAAGCGCCCCTTACTGAGCAGTATTCAAATATCTTCTCCCATATTAAATTACCGCCTCAATTGAGAATTCCTCCAATCGGAAGACAGTGGAGGCGTCGAGGGAATAAGAAACATTTACCTCTATATCTATAACTAGGATAGAACACTGTCACGGGTTAGGGTCCGGTGCCCGGGACCCAGACACTGTCCGGGCGGCGGTACGAGGACCGGGACCCAGTATGCCTGATGAGAAGTGGAGTCTTCAGCGTGGAAGTGGATTATCAGGGCCTGGTACAGGGTAACCACACGCCCCCTGGTGTTGAGCACTAGCGTTTGCGCGGCCACATACCAGAACCCTGATGCAGCTACAGCAGATCCCAGGAACTTGAAGCTAGGAAGTAAGCAGACCACCCAGGAACTGGGTAGGGGGGCTCTGCAGCAGACATGTATCCAGTACAGAAACAAGGCAAGGCTAGAACAGGCACCAAACATGAAAAAAAAGACAGAACTAATAGAACCCAGAACCAGAGCAGGACAGAAAGCAGAACCCATAACATGTACCCAATACATGAGGAAAACAAGAACAGGGCAGAACAGGGCAGGACAGGACTGTACATGAACTGGGATTACAAAAAAAACAAGACAATATATAATAGGCAAAACAAGAGGAGACATAACTAAGCACTATATATGAAAAGTATGGGGATTTAGTTACATTTTATGATCATACATTGCATAAGCCTGCCACAACGCCAATGTACCCCATATTCGGCAGGTCCTACACTGCCTAATGTTCGCTAAAAGAACCATACTAAACCACAATAGCACTTACCTGCAAGAAAGGGCAGAGACTTGAAACACTGCTGCAGGTCCAGACTGAAACAAAAGGAAAATGGAAAACAAACGGGTGTGGCAACATAAAACAAACATATAAATGAATCCAGGAGACTGGGAATTCCAGGGACGGATTACAGGAATGAACCCAGAAAAACCCAGCATAAAGAAAACCAGACAGAGAATAGAAAACCAGAAAAACCAAGAAAAACTAAACAAGAAATGTAAAAAGAGTACTGGATACCAGAAGCCAAAGCCAGATATCTCCGCAGAACATGGCATGATGTGACAAACACATCTGTCACTTATCAATATGGCATAAACTAAAAGTGTAAAAGGCATAAGTTGTCCATACCCATAAAATCATCAGCTCAAGAGGGTTCTCAGAACTGTTATGACTGACCAGCTTTTGTTAAGCTCTATGTAAAAATAGTGGTCAGTCCAACGTTAAAAAAGGGTCAGGTTTAGGTGATAAAGTTGAAAGTGACAGACTTATAAGGATTATGTAATTGCTTAGAATGTATAACTAACACATGCCCCAGTAGGAGCTAGAAGTATTTTGAATGAAAGGAACGCAAACATAATTTTTAAAAGTGTCTTTTGTCCCATGAATCTCCCCAGAATTCTGGCACTGGTTATGCGGGAGGATTTATCTTTTGAGGTTTTTAGACTCAATTGTCCCAAAAACCTGAGAGTTATTGCTATCTTGAATTCTTCGAATTATTACCCTATATGTGCTCTTCTCTTATTAGGGTAATTCCAACACCTTTTAGGTTCATTTAGGGAACCTCTTTTTGCTTAGATTCTTAGGGTTAGGACCTTTCTGGTTGGAAAATCCCCATTACGAGACCTTATCCTTTATGGTTTTTTTCTAAGGCAGAAACCACTTGACATTTAGATGTGTTTATTAATGTTTGGCATTGTTGGCATAGTTCGGAGGACAATGTAAATCAGTACTATAATCACAAATAATAAAAGAGTTAAACTAGTAAAAAATCCATTAAGATTTTCTTCCATATATGTTCAGCATTCGTCTCTGTCAAGTGATTTTTGTCTCACTCCGTATATGATAAAAGATTTCTGTTTCTACAAAATGGAGATAATAATTTGTCATAATGTTTGTGGACCCAGGACATACTTGAAGATGAAAAAAATCTCAAGGTGTTCTTCTTGGTAAAATGATTTATCAATAAATAAAACAAATAAATTCTTGCTTTCATTTGAACACAGGAGAATATCATTATTCTACCTTTTCCTTTGTAATTGAAATAACTTGGGCTTTATTTTCTGTAAAAAAATCTGTAACTTAAATCTGTAACTAAGGGATTCCCAATGGAACGTTTGCATATTAATGGCACATATACTGTAACACTATGCAACTGTGATGTTGTTATGTTTTGTTCCATAAATGGCCGTGAAAGGAAAAAACTGGGAAATGTTACTGACATTCATACCATGTTTTTATTAACATTTAAGTACTTGTCATACAAAGGTTATGCTTTGCTTTTTATTTGTAACTTGCTTATTAAAACATTGTTATGTTGTAGGACTGTTATTTGAAGTTCAACTATGTTGGAAAAAGTACAAATAGAAGGGCAATATGTTTGTGCAGCTGTTGTAGAGTATGAGTAAACACCCTTGTGAAAACATTTACCAACAGGTATTAGTAAATTTCATGTTATTTCAATAAAGGCTGATGGGTTATATCAGGTTATTTGAGGTCCATACTGCTTCCAAAATCTTACCTCCCCAAAACAATCCTTAGCCTATTTCCAGAGGATCTATTTTTTATCTCAGTAACCACACGTGATGTGGTACTATATGTACTAAACAGGTGCAGGAATACATAATTGGGCAAGTCCCAATGCCAAAAAAAACGTTAATTATATCAGGTTTACGTTTCTTACAATCAGCTTAATGTGGGAAGTGAAATGCCAGAATCATAGCTGGCGTTGCATGAAGTGGGAGAGTTGCCTATTTTCTTTTTTTTGAAATTTTACAATTTTTATTGGTCAGTAAATGCATAACACATAGGCTTTAAACAAGGATATATACATGTCATATACTTTTCCTATGAATGCCTTAACTGTGTACATATAGGACCTGCATTACGTCTGGTTGCAGATGCAGGCACGGATATATATTAAACAGTAATCGATATTCTATGCCCTATAGACATTGTTCTGTAGTCAGCCGGCTACTGTGTCTAATGGGGTGGTTCCTAGGTCCTTGTTGTGCTTCCTATTTCTATATTGCGTTATTTGCATATACTCAACTCTGTCAGGGTGGGGGGGAAGGGGGGGTGGGTGGGAAGGGTGGAGGGTGGGGGTCTCTCAGAGTTGGTATTCTCTTGTGCTTTGGGAGGGATGGTTCACGCTGGAGGCTGGTCGGTGTGTGGTTTCATGGGGTTTTGTCTTGTGTGATCGTGGGCAGACACTCTTTAAGAGCGGCTTGTGTTGTGGAGCGGGTCAGGAAATCTGTCCACATAGTATGGGCTTGTTTCAAGTGTTTTTTAGTTCCAAATTGGGTTGCAAATGCTGTTTCATAGACCCAATTGAGTGAGACTTGCTGTATGAGGAGTTCCCTGGATGGGATTGCTACCTGTTTCCAGAACCTTGCGATAAGTGTCGCTGCTGATATTAATACGTGATACATGGCTGTCCATGTGGCCTTGGAAGTCTCATCTGGAGGGATGAATAAAATGCAGAGTTCTAGGGTGAGGGTTACCTGAGTGCGTATAATATTTGATATAACATTTTGTACTTCGTGCCAAAAGGGTTTGATATTGTCACATGTCCACCAAACGTGTGTCATGGTACCCCTTTGGTGTCCGCACCTCCAGCATTTGTCTGTGGATTGCGGCCAGATGTGGTGGACTCTGGCTGGGACTAGGTACCATCGGTACAGCAGTTTGCCCTGTAACTCCAGATGAGTGGCACAGGAAGTTGTTCCCCTGTGTGAGGAGTAGGCCTTGTCCCATTTGTCCCTAGTTATGGACCTACCCAGTTCCGAATGCCAGGACTGTATATGTGTGTCATTGGGTGGGTCTACCGTCTGTAGTAGTAGTCGGTAGTTTATAGATATTAATTTTTTTAGCGGTTTTCTGTGCGTGCACAGAAGTTCAAATTCAGATAGGTGCTCTCGGGCATTAGCGTTATTGGCACGGAGTTTATTCTGAGATAGGCATGATTTGATCTGAAGGTAAGGGAAAATCAGTCTGGAGGAAAGGTTGTATTCCCTCTGTATGTCTGGGAATGGGCAGAGTTTACCTCCTTCGTATAGCTGTCCCACTTCAGTTATCCCCCCTTGTTGCCATGTTTTTTTGTCCCATGTTGGTATTAAGGTGGCCAGGATGTCCAGCGGGGTAGCTAGAGGCACTGGGAGGTAATGGACCAGGTTGTGTCTAGAAGCGTCCCAGTGGTGCAGTATGTGCTGTGTTGTGGGTAATAGATGTGTGGTGTCCCGTCTATG